GCGGGAATCAAAATCCAAACCCATTTCCCTGGAACCACAGGCCCAGGCTGGACGAGGGAAGAGGCAGCTTGCTCAGGAGGAGAGAGGAAAAGGAAACGACGTCAAGATGGGCCAAAAATCCGGGGGAGGACAGAGAGGCCGGAGGATGAAGCACGAGGGGCGGGAGATGGAAAGGGAAACCGCGGGGCGGAGACGAGGAGGCCCCAGCTGCCCTCGGGTCCGTCCCTCTTGCGTCGTCGCTGGTCTTTCGTCCGAGGAGAGCTCTGCCCCCCCCAGAGTTACCGACTCCCCCCACCCAAGGGTTAAGGAATAACCTGATCCTGGCCTCCGGCAGGCGGCCACACAGCTGAAAACAAAGGAGGAGGAAGACGAGGAGCGACGCGGAGCAGCGCGCGGGGTGCGAGGCCTGTCGGGGGTGGAGGGCGTGTGCGAGTGAAGTTTGGGGCGCCAGAGTGACGCGTGTGCGACGTCGGGGCGCGTGTGTCAAGTCGGGGGACTGGAGTGTCATGTGTGTGCAGTCGGGGGCGGAGGGGGGGTGCAGTGTGAAGTTTGGGGTGCCGGAGTGATGTGTGAAAGAGAAAGAAAGGCGGATGTCGGGGTGCACTGATGCATCAGTCCAAGTGGTAGAAGATCTCTTATCCAAGGTATTATAACATTAAGACAGTTTGATATAGTTTAGGAGATAATATTAATCGTAATAATAATAATCCTCCTCCTCCTCTCAAAGTCTGTTGAGGTTTCCCATGGCAGCCGTGGAAACGGAGCGTTTCTGCGTTTTGTTCTCCCCGTTGTTCCGGACGCTGTCTCTGCTGCCACCGGGACCCGCCTACCCCCCCGTGTTCCCCGGGCGACGCCCGCGCGGCCGCCTCAGAGACGCGTCTGGGCCTCGGGCACATAGATCTCGATGCTGTCAGCGCTCTCGGTGGCCGAGTTCTGCCGCACAGAGGCGGCCCGCTTGGCGGCCATCAGCCTCTTGCGGGCCTCCTGCCGCTGCTTGTCCGAGGAGGGGTCGCCTTTGTCCCGGCCAGACGCGGCCTTGGGCTTGGAGGGCTTCTTTGGCACCGGGGGCGGCTGTTTCTTCTCCTCCTGCGGGCACGTGGGCGCGTGGGGAGAGAGGGAAAGAGGGAGAGAGAAAATATGAGAGGCTGTAACGCCAAGCTGTCAAACTTCGTGGACCCCGACTCTGGTTCTCCGGCCCGGATTAGTCTTCTAATAGTCATTTCAGAAAGAGGAGAGCAGTACCTACACCCACACAGAGAGCCTGGCCGCTATTCCAGCCAGTAGTTCAGGGTTAGTGGGGTTCCAGTTATTGGAGATCTCGAGTACCCAGAATCTGTGCACACTGGGAGGACTAGGGTCGAAGGGCAGCACATCAGACCCCCATTATTCTACCACATCGGAGCCTTTGCTCCAACAAAACGATAGCACTACCACCTGCATACAACCTTCCCGTTTCCTGACCCCCCCTGGTTTTAGATCCCTAAATCGGACGGGAGAGCAACACAGCTCGTTCACTAGCCCAGCTCCGCTGTCCGATACGGGACAGGAAGAGCAACAGGAATCCCGCTGCTGGGAAACAGCCGCGTTTCCAAATTCCACCGACTGCGTGCTGCTGGGTACCGTCAAACATGGTGATGATCGGGGTGGGCTTTTTAGAAGGGATTAATTGCAAATGTGGCAGTTTAAAAAAAAAAAACTACATTTGAAGCAGGGACATATTTTACATTTTAAATGACTTGGGTCTTTTCAGTCTGTGGGGGTGACCCTTGATACTGCCGTCATCATTGCTATTAAATCTTCATTCACAGAGACGTCAGTATTGGCATACCTTCCCTGAGTAAGGTAAGGAAACTTAGAAGGGCTATTACAGACAAACCTGTTAAATAAGCATAATTTAAAACTATATAATTTCATATTCAGGGGCAGATGCACATGTCCATATCAAGTTGTGCTTTGTGCACACTGCTGTGCAAACGTCTTGGGCATCATAGACACAATCAGAATTCTATTGTAGGAGCATCAAAAAAGATTTAAATCGTCCTCTAATGGTTTCTGATTATGCAGGCTTTATTGATACTGCTTGGCTTCAGATGAAACCAAACCTGCCATTTAGCAATCATTAGTTCATATCGATCCAGATCTTTCAAAACAAAATTCAGAAGTAGCCAATATGAAGTGGTACGCTAGGTAATCCATAACACACAGGTATACGACAGGCTTGTCATTAACGATATTTGTTTCTCATGTCTACTCATCCATGAAGCTAAAAGGCAACCTTTTATACTACAAAATACAGATCTAGGAGTTCGCTTAAAACTCCAAAGTTCAAGCAGGAGATCCGGACAGAATTGTGATCCTGCGTAAAGGACAAAAGGAGAAAATAGCAGAACAGCGCAGAAAGACTTTTACACAGCAGTGTATATGATGTCAAAGAGGTTATGGACAGCTGTTTCACCCTCATCAGAGTGACAGCTGTATTTTAAACAGTGAAATGGGCTTATACTGTACATGGATGCATCAAGGAACACCTTTCTGGGGTACTATGTTTTTAACAGCATGCTTCAGTGGCCGTGGGGGTGAGAAATGGTGTGAGTCAATATTCACACATCCCATCATGCAAGGGGATTTCCGCTTGCCTTGAAAACACTGTAACCGTGAAAGGCGAACCTTGCAGAACCTACAGACAGAGAGACACAGCATTCACTCCATCCCAGCTCTCCCCCTGTGTCATGCCAAGTCTTTGAAAGCAAAGCACATGAAAGGAAGGGAGTCCCCCAGCGGGCATGCACAGCTCTAGCTACACGGTGGCTTCTGGGAATGAACATGCATGCTCAAAGAGGCTCTGCTGAGCCCCGAGAGTGACAGCGCGGGGGTGGGAGGGGGAGATGGGGCGCAGAACCTCTTTGGGGTGACCGTGGCCATGCATGTGGGCAGTGTGCGTGCCCCTCTCTGCGGGCCGGCAGTGGCAGTACGGCGGGTTCCCTACCCCGGCCTGGGCAAAGTGCCTCGGGGGGCGGCAGTACCTTCCTGTCCATGGCGTCGGCCAGCTGCCAGTCGTTGGTCTTCAGGTGGTAGAGCTCGTCGAACTTCATGCTGATGTCCTCGATGGAGAGCTGGAGCAGGTCCCAGAACCCGGCCAGGTCCTGGGCTGTGGGTCGTGGGTTCGCGTTGACATTCTGCCGAGAGAGGTCAGAGGTCAGGTGTCAGAGGTCAGGGGTCAGGGGTCAGCCAGAAGAGGCCAAAAGAGCTGACCGAGAGCTGGACAAGATTCAAAGAAAACTAGCTGATGGGCTTGCAACGTATTTGCCTCGGTTCTTCCCCTTCAAAGAGTAAGAAACGTTTCTTCACGCTAACACTTTGACCGTTGCAGGAACACAAACACGCAGAGATTAATCCGGTCCCTGATTTTTCAAATTGTCAAGACAGACTGAGGCCAACAGGGGTGAGAGGACCTTTAGGGAACGGTGATCACAATATGGTGAGGTCTGAAGACCGTTTTGAAGCTGCAGTGGTTAATCTCAAATCAAAAGTTCACAAATTCAGGAAAAATCTAACTTTGAAGGAGTGAATGAGAAGTGAAAAGGGACAGTGTTGAATTGACAGGTTACAGACATTCAGCTTGAGGCACAGAACGGATTTCAAGATCGAAAGTAAATCAAAATCTGGAAAGCAATGGCTCAAAGTGTTATATTACAATACCTAAAGGAAAAACACTTTAGAAATGGATTACAAATCATCAGACCCAGTTAAAACTGTATAATGAATTACAAGCACAGGTAAAAGGGATAACAGATAAGAGGGAAAGGGAAATTGCAATGGAGGCTGAAAGATGTTCTTTCAGGACTGATGTATTAAATGAGATGATGACTTAGGAAAGTTTCAAATGAGAGGTGGACAAATAAAACAAAAGGCTCCTGTAGGCTTGATAATTCCTCTGCTATGGCAGATACACAAGCAGAAAAAAAAAACCAAACACCTAATTAACAATCAAACATCAAAATACACATGCTGCTCTTTTAAGATGCCTTCAAGGTTGGATCATTAAATACATGTCCACTAGATGGTACTCTCACAGCTCCACTCGGTCCAGCTCGGAGCAGGGTTGTCAAACAAATGAAAAGGTCTCTTAACTCAAAGCAATACATTCGAAAACAAATAAAAATAAGAACCCGAGAACCAGCTTCGAACTGAGACAGTGTTATAGACAGAAGACAACGTGCAAGAACCAGACACAAAAGAGCTTCTTGTCTTGTGCAGCATCCAAGATCTGACAAGTACCAGTATTGTACAGGGAAATATCGCTCCCCTAATTACTCGTCTCTTTCTTTCAAGTGTAATTATTCTACTGGTGTCTCCTCTCCTGGCCAGCTCAGATCCAGCTGTACACTCGGAGAGCAAGCTCCTATAATCATTTGTCATCTCCTGCTGGCTTGAAACCCATCCAAGAACGCAAGACACAGTTATGTTAATTCCATTGTTAACAGCTTCACTAGTGGGACTGCTCCTTTGTGCTGAAGCCGAAATGCCAGGAGACAGAAATCTGCAGGAGTCGCCAGTATGGGAAGAGGCCTTTCTAGATCTCTGGAGAATGGAGAAGGCTGGAGAACTGGCATCGCTCAAAGACTGATCAAGGTTTTGCCAAAAAACCTTGTCTGAATGTTTTTTAGTGTGCTGAATGTACATCCCTAGTATTAACCCCCTCCGGAATCAATTTTCTCATCTTCACCCACACTGGAGGGACTGAAAAATAAGCAGACAGCTGTTTGATGTCTAGTCTGGATGGGAACGCAGTCTGGATGGGAACTCTGCTCATCCCAGTGACTAAGTCAACGCCCCAGGGCTACTGCAGTCCAAACACATCTAGTGGTCTGTGTTTTACAATGGTATACAGCTCTTTAAACTGGAACTGGGATTCGCTGCGTTTTCACTATATTCCAATTTAATAAAACAAGAAATGCACTTTGAGCGCAAGGTGTTTTATAATGATTAACCACAAGGATTTTATTGTGGCGAGTTTATCCAGTTCATACACCTCTGTTCGGCCGAAAGGCCTGGTGAAAATGAATTGCCTAGTCCGTGACTCTTTTCATCCAGGTGGGCTGCGAGCTGCAGGACTGAAACGCGTGCGGAACAGGCGGTGGGATTAGCCATCAGCCTCGCTTGTGATCCGTGTTCAAGAGACTGAGGCAGGGGTGCCAGCGGTGGACAGATCGCGAGGAGCAGCTTTCACTTTGGAATTTGCCGAGTTGGAGTTTAACCGAGAAAGGGGAGAAAAAAAGAATCGGCCAATGGCAGGCTTAAGAGGATGTTGTGTGGCACAAAATAAACACTACAAACGTGGAACTCCAAGAGCAGCTGACAGGAGACAGTCATTTTAGCCTTGTGAGCTGAAAACTACTCCTTCCACTGCTGCAGCGGCACTAAAACCATTAAGCGGTCACACGCAGGACTGGAAGGGAGAACTACAAAGAGCAGAGGTCCAAATCCACAGACAACGGGCCAGAGATTCCTGTCCTGTCTAGGTTGGGCAGGGAAGGCTGGAGGAGGGAGAGTGGGAAGAGAGAGGAAGGACGGGGAGCTGGAACAAGAAAGTGAGCCCGTGTCAGAGGGGTACAGTGATAACATCAGGGCCCTGTGCCTGTTGGACTGGGCCCTGCAGAGAGCCACTCCACTCTGACGGCCCTTGGGGAAACACCGTTGTTAAAGCACATTTATAGAGAAAGGCTCGTCACCGGACAGCACAGGAACGGGGGTTACTCACCAGGTTCTGCTCGCAGAGCCCCTGGAACTGCTGGAACTTCTGGGACATGAGGAGCTGGGCGCTGCCCACCGCACTGCGGATCTTCCCCAGCACTGCAAAGGAGCAGACGCAGCTGTGAGCAGGAGGACCCCCGGCACCGCCAACACCTCGCCCCAGGCCGGGAGCTGTCGGCCGTCTGGCCGCCCAGCAACCCGCACACAAAACAATCCAGCAGCCACGGCACCCTGCAGCCCCATTGAAGCTCAGCAGTGTGAGCCAGGTCAGTTCCTGGAGGGGAGACCTCCTGGGAAAACCTAAGGGTGCTACTGGAAGAACTGTAGTGGGGCCAGTAGGGGGCGCTCACCCTGCAGTCTGTGTGGGTCCTAATGCGTCAGTATAGTGAAAGGGACACTACACCTCCCCACTGATGAGTGTTGATGTCTGGGGGAGTTTTTGTAAATGGTTTCAACACTCATTTGTAAAACTTTCCCTTTGAACTATGCAATCCATATCAGCTGTAGCAGTCTGTCATCACAAATCGCAGATATTGAGTGCACTTAAGATGCAGGTCACGTCAGACATGTACTACTGCCCCCTTCTGGCCAACATGTGCCCCGACAGCCCTCTGACAGTTGGAAGTACAGAATTCCTGTGGAGGCAGCTCACTTGTGGATGCTGGCTCTCTGCAGCTCAGCACACAACTGCCTCCTGTGAATAAGGCCTGTGGCCCAAAGGGCAAAGTCTAGCGTTATTACACATGGGATTAGATTACAGAGAAAACCCAGGCAGACACGAAGGGAGAAATTCTCTCCACGAGGTGAGAACCTACTGCTCTGTTTTCATATTTTTCCACATACTTCATTTCATACCCTTTAAACCTGTCATCTGTTTAAGAAGGAACAGGCATTTCAACAAGAATAGCAAAAAAAACAGCAGAGGTGGCCTGTCACAGTTTCTCACAGCAGAGGGGCAACAGAAAACCCCTTGTGTTTCTAGTAGAGTGCAATAACTGCTTTCGCTTTGACCTGCAGTAAAAAGCTTTGTGCACTCACATATACTTTAAACTGTTCACGTCACAGTCTGGACTTAACTGGAACATACTGAAATTCTTCTGTTGGAGATAACAAAGGCCCTGTTGACTCGCAGGAGAAACGGCTTTGTGGATTATGTGCGATTGTTAAAATTCCTGAGGCTCGAGACACAGCAATGACATGTTTACACAAAGGTTAACATTTCGGGATTGCCTTTCGGGGCATGAGAGAGCACCTCGATCTATGGTGGCCCCCCCTCTTGTGGGTAAAAGACACCAGACAAAATCCACAAGCCGATCAGACGTTACCAGTTTCACCTGCTGCCACGCCTTAAGAGTAACAGGGGGGAATCCCCAGGCACTGAGAAACAGGCACAGCTTTAACGTGCGTAATCTTTCCTAGAACTAAGAAAAAACACTGTTCTGTTAAGAGGAAGAATGAGCTAAAGAAACTGTAAATCTAACAGCGGCTCTCTGCAATAGTACTCTATTGACCAACAGTGCCTGCTGTTCTTCGGTGGCAGGTAAAGAATCAGTCCCATTGAGTGCTCCAGCGCAGTTTTACCGTGGAAATGGGACTCACTGACTCAGTGGTGCCGTGACTGCTGCTGTCCCAGCTGATCCACTGACACTAATCCCCACTTCAATTACGCCAAGATTAGAGCAGTGTAATTCTGTGCTTTACGCCCCTACTGCTCCATTTGCTGCAGGTATTAGGGGCTCAATCTGATTCCTGTAGCGGAAGAGAGAGCTCAAGTCTGTGGCTGTGGAGTCGATCACGCATCACGCTGACAGAGGCCAGCTGTCACTGTAAGTGTCAGGGGCTGAGGCCAGATTCGGCACCAAATACTGGATTCGCTATCGTGAGGTCTACACTAGCGCTGCACTTACAAAAACCATGGCCTTTTGTCTCAGTGCAGTTTGGACGTTCATTTGAATTTCCCATGAATCTTGACAATGATTTGCACACGGTGTACATGACTGAAAACGGGGAAATTCTTCACACGCAGCGAGTTAAATATTGACGACGTTCAACTAGGGAGCTGCCTCAGCATGCGTAGGCTGCAAAAGAACAGGTAAGGGTTTATTCCATGCTGAAAAGGGGAAAGAAACATAATTTCGGCTTCCTTCAGGCGTGGGGGAGAGAGAGTGACCAGCAGTCGACGAAGCATGAGAGAACCTCTCTCTCCCACACCTGAAGATAGCTCCACAGCTGAAGTATTTCTTTTCCTTGCAGTATGGAATAAACCTTTACCTGCTCCGTTGAATTTTGACACCCGTTCCCGGGAAAGCTGAGGGACTATTGGGAGGATAGCTAGCCATAAGCCGCTAACAAACTGAAAAGAGAAAGACGTGCCGAGTGGTCTGTACTCAGCTGGATCCTTTCAAATGTTCTCGTACGCTTACGGGCCACATGAAAACTTAGCGTCACACTGTAGTAAAAGGAGTAAAGTACAGTGAACACCTGGAAAACCGCCGGGAGGTGAGGCACAGCAAGGCAAACCCCTGACAAAACAGAAAGCTGGGCAAAATGAACATGGCCGCCCAGGACTGCCCTACCTTCCTCAGACAGCTGGTTGTCTTTGGTCTCCTGCTCCATCTGCCGACACCAGCCCTCCATGCGACCGGTCTCGGCCTGCAGGAGCTTCAGGAACCAGTAGCCGTCGCGGAGGCAGGCGGGCCCCCCGGGCGGGGCTGCGCCGCTGGGCGCGCCGCTGTTGACGGCGTTCTCGAGCCAGGGCTCGGGCGGGGGCAGGGAGGAGGGGTCCAGGGCGGGGTCCAGGCTCTCCGAGAAGGAGGAGCTGCTGCTGCGCGTGGCCGTGCGGTTGGACAGCTGGCGCGGGGCCCCGCCCT